ACTCTATTTTAGAATTTATTCTAAAAAGCTTTTATTATTTTTCATTTGCGTGTAATCAAATCTTGCAATAAATTTTTAACCAAATTCCCGATTAACCAGAGACTTGAAACTTTAAACTTAGCTCAGAAACTGTTGACAATGCAACATGAAAGATGAATTTATCCGCTAGGTGGCGTGGGTATCAAGATATTTGAAGAAAATTACCTACATGAAAAGGAATAACCACGCAAAAAAGTCCAACCACGCTGGAGTCGGGATATTTAGAAGGCCTGTATTAATGGTCCGATTTATTTTATATTTAGAACGTGTATTAATTAAATGGCAAGAAAAAATTCCAAAAAAAAATTAACCGTTAGGTGGCGCGAGTGGCGATTTTTTATTAATCACTAATAAAAGCTTATCTTAAAAAAAAATTGTCTTTAAATTACTTGTTTATTCTTGGTTTTCCGTGAAGTGAAAATAGTTTATAACTATATTTATTTATGGAAAAGCTTGTAAGTACTTACGAAAAGATAGACATAAACGCATTTCAGTTATTTGAATAAATTTATTAGAATTCATCATTGTAGTTTCATACCTATTTTATATTAATTAGAATATTAACAGCTATAAAAGCCGGGTGCACCAATTGAAGTGAGCGGTATTACAAACTAACTTCAAAAATGACTTTTTAGAAACGTATTCATCGCTTATATTTCGAACCCTCGAACTGCAGTTAAAGTACAGACTTTTACTTTGATTGAGGTTCTGGTCATGGGCAGTTATTGAATATATGTAGATTGTCACTTCAATTAGCCCACCCAGCCACCAGTAGTTAACGGTTATATATGTATGTATAAGTATAAGTATATTAAACACTTTATTGCGAATCTCTATTCGACGAACAATGGAAATGTACTTTCGGTACAGATGTACTGCAAATAAATGTCTTGCATTTAATGCTATGAAATAACATACAAAATTAAGTGTATATATTATATAAGTATGTACATCTAAATGCCATCAGTTATAATTATTATCTATTGTATTTTCTAGTAGTTTTAGAAATATATTTTCACTCATTTTTTATATAAAACATTATTTACATTGTGTGTTCATAAATAAAAAATAAACGCTGGAAGGCGCTAAACTTAGTTGAGTATCCTTTTCTGTCAACTAGGAAATATTGAAACACAAGGGTATGTAATAGTGCAAAAGGAATTCAACAAAGATGAGAAGGCTTTGAGGGCTTTTGAGAAAACTATTATACCCAACTTTTATAGCTCTAGACGAACTCTACTGAAAAGAGAAACTTTGAAAATTTCCAACAGAAAAATTATTATTTTTAACACTTTTGAAACTACATTAGATTGAACAATTGTAAGAAATTTAATTAAGTAAAAGTAAGCAAATGATCGTTTGGCGCCAAATGAAGACAGTTTCAGTTTGCAACAAATTCGATGTTTTTTTTCGCGGCGTAAGAGCTTTTAAATGTTGCAGCCAAGATACGCACCCGCCTCTGTGCAGAAAAAAATGTGCGCCCAAATATGCAAGGAAAGCTTAACGTCGAAAAGCTGCAATCACAACAGACAGCCAGCGCTTTCGCTACTCGACTCACATCTGCTCTCAGAGACCACTCTTCAACAAACCGACATATGCAAGCAGGGGAACCACATTTCCCGCTCATTAAGTACCGCCGCCGAAGAAGTAGTCGGATTTCAGCGAGCCCGAAATAATAACTGGTATGATGAGGAGTGTAAGAAAGCTGCAGAGAAAAAAGATGCCACCTACAGGGCCACGCTGCGATCGGGCGCAACGCGCGCTATGTGGGACCGCTATAGGGATCTGAAGAGGGAAACGAGACGTATTTGTCGCAATAAGAAGAGAGAGGCCGAAATACGTGAGTGCGAAGAGCTTGAAGTGCTGGCAGACAGGAGGAATGCCCGAAAATTTTACCAGAGAGTAGGCGACTTACGGAAGGTTTAAAGACCGGGGCGAACTCCTGTAAGAACAATAATGGCGACCTAGTAACTGATGTCCAGAGCGCACTTAAGTTATGGAGGGAACACTTTTCCGCCCTACTAAATGGTAGCAGCACGAAAAGTTGTGGAGAAGAAGAACCCGAGACCGCAGTCGATGATGATGGAGTCGACGATCCACCGCCTGACTATGACGAGGTACGTATAGCAATAATGCGGCTGAAAAACAACAAAGCCGCTAGAGCTGACAGCCTGCCAGCTGAGCTATTCAAGAACGGCGGCGAGGAGTTGATAAGGTGCATGCATCAACTCTTGTGCAGAATATGGTCAGATGAACGCATGCCCGACGGCTGGAATTTAAGTGTAAAAGACTGAAGCCCACCGTCAGTGAACTGATTGGGCCTTATCGGTGTATTTTAGGCCTGGCAAATCTAACATACGCCAAATCTTGGAAAAGACCCGCGAGAAAAGGATCGACACTCACCACCTATTCGTACACTTTAAAGCCGCTTTTGACAGCACTAAAAGGAGTTGCCTATACGCCGCTATGTCTGAATTTGGCATCCCCTCAAAACTCATACGGCTGTGCAAAATGACGTTGAGCAATACCACCAGCTCCGTCAGAATTGGGAAAGACCTCTCCGAGCCGTTCGCCACAAAATGGGGTTTCAGACAGGGCGACTCCCTTTCATGTGACTTATTTAATCTGATGTTGGAGAAGATAATAAGAGCTGCAGAACTGAACCGCCTTTTCCAAGTTGGATAAAGAAGCAAAGCGAATGGGTCTAGCGGTAAACGAGGACAAGAAGAAGTATCTCCTGTCATCAAACAAAGAGTCAGCACAGTAGAGAATTTTGTTTACTTGGGAACCAGCATTAACACCGACAATAATGTCAGCATCGAAATCCAACGTAGAATCAGTCTTGCCAACAAGTGCTACTTTGGACTGAGTAGGCAATTCAGGAGCAAAGTCCTCTCTTGACCTACGAAAACCACGCTCTATAGTAGGCGAGTACCGCAGACGATGGAACGATGAGCTGTATGAGCTTTATAACGATATCGACATAGTGCAGCGAATTAAAATACAGCGGCTCCGCTGGCATGGTCATGTCGTTCGGATGGACACCTGCGCTCCAGCTCTGAAAGTATTCAACTCGGAACCCGCTGGTGGTAGCAGAGGAAGAGGGAGGCCCCACTGCGATAGAAAGATCAGGTGGAGAAGGACTTGGCTTCACTTGGCGTTTCCAATTGGCGTCATTTGGCACAGACGAGAAACGACTGGCGTGCTTTGCTGAACTCGGCCATAATCGCTTAGGCGGTTACAGCGCCAAAAAAGAAGAAGAAGAAGAGCTTTTTAACGGCATGTCCCTAGTTGAGTTTATAAAAATACAACGATAAGGCTGGATACGCATGGATGACCCGACTCCAGTGAAAACATCCTTCGACTCAGCACCCTGTACAACTGGCGCAACCTCGCACAGTAGAGAGGCAATTGGGGAAGTTTTTTCATCTTGGCCCAATGCGAAAAATGGTTCTAGAGCAAAATGTCAAGATTTTCTGCTGGCAGTAAGATAAAAAAGTAAAGTCGGTTCGCCACATTTCTCCTTAGGGTAAGGCAGGGTTGGCAGAAAAACTAACTTCGACCACTTCAATCTTCATAGTCTTCGACAGTAATTATGTAGGTGTGCTCGTCAATTACTATTATATGGAGTAAAGTTCCTAGCACTGTCAGCAAAATGAAAAAATATTAAAAGTCAACGCGATTTTATAGCGTTTAAAATTTGGTCTTTAACCTAATAAAATTAAATGATGTACAAAACTGCATACCTAAAATTTTTCCAAAAAATTTTAATAAATAGATTCGTAAAAATGGAAAATGACTTTTGACTTTCTCTTTAAAGTGGTTTTATTTACTTCAATATTTCATTAAATACTTTTATCATTTGAAAATTTTTTTAGAAATCTTTAAAATCATACCTTATATAGAACTCACCTGTAGAACAAAAACGCATTAAAATCGATCGGCCCTATGGATTTTGGCGTCCTTTGAAACTTTAGCATTACATTTTTACTTTTCGGAGCGATGCGTCAACTAACACTTTCACTAGGCATGGATAACTCTGCGCTGCGCGGCGCAATTGCGTTAACACCGTAGCCGGAATTGCCCCGCCAACACCAGTATATGGAAAGCGCCAGCGCCATTAACACCAAGCAACATATGATGCACACACACAATTCGCCTTAACTCTTTGAAAATTTACACGTACTTTGTTTTTGCATTTGAGTGCTGAGAACGCAAATTTAAAGCTTTTACTCAAGAATGATAGAATATCGCATTTACTAGTTACATTCCTAGCAATTAAATTCAGTTGGCGGTACAAACGTTGCTCAGCGCCGAAAATTATTGAAATAATAGACATGACACCACTGTATGACTGTATGGTGTACTGCACTGTATGACGATGGGTACTGTGGTGAAACTCAGATGGTGCCGTGTTCAATTCAGTACACTGCGCTATTGCGCTATGTTAGTGCGCTGACACCACAGGTGGCGCTGGCGTTATTGAGCTAGCGCCAAAACAATTGAGCAAGCGCAATTACCCATGGCTGACTTTCACACTAATCATACAAACAAGTGGAAAAGGTCAATCCAAGAGAATAAGCCCCCAAAATCGATACTCTAATTTTTGGATTTATGGGCACGAATTGGTTACCAAATATCACTGTAGGTTATAAATAAATAAATGAAAGTATATATTTTTGTGAGTTTCTATGCTTTGGGTGCTTTGGGGTCTGGGATTTTCTTGAATATTTACCTTATTTTTTACCCTCAAGAAATATGGTGCACAGATCCGTAATCTACAACCCAAAATTAAATTTACGTGTCTCGGTGTTTTTTTTGTGCCATTTTATAAATTTTGTATACATATATTACATGTTTGTTTATACATAACGAGTATTACATCTTATTTAAAATATTTAAATTTCTTATTACATACGTGTTAAGTATAACTTTTAGTTTATCTATTCAAGTATTCGCTTTACACACTAACCATCCGGTTAAATTTATTCACTGGCATCCCAGTCTGTATATGATTTCTCATTACTTTGCTTATGCATAACTAACTTAGGTAAATATGTACATAAGCACACCTGTTCGTATGTATTTTACATGCATATGTATATAAAAATGTACGCGTATACTTTGTAATTAGCCGCGCCAAGTTTTATAAATTTCCCCACTTGAAATGTGCAGTGTACTTGGGGATGGGCCTTTGCCCATACAGTCAGCATTACAACCGAGCGAGTCACAGGCAAATCGCGCACAACTGCAATCACCTCCACTGCCGTTTGTTCAACTTTGTATGTGTGTAGCCGCTCAACCGTCCTTACTCCAACATTACTAGGTTGTAACCGCGCTCGCCCTATTGCTGATTAACTAGTTTATCACCGCGCAGTCGACCATGCTTTGAGAGCAACATCACAGTACAAAACAGTTTGTTGAGTCAGCAATGGCTGCTGACGCTGGTGGAACTGTTGGTGGTGATGCTGTTGAGTAACATCCTCGGCTGCATCATCTTGTATTCGGTGTTCGCTTGAGAGCGCAAGTTTACTGTCAACAGTGGTGTCATTGGTGCAGCGCAACAAGGCCATGGCAAGCAATGTGGCAACTCTATGACCGAACGTTTGATATGGCTGCTGCACTTGCTGCTGTGGCTGTTGCTGTGGTTGTCGCTGTAACTGCGGCTGTGGTTGCGTGCTGCTGGGTGGGTGTGTTTTACAATTGCTTTGGCTGTTGCAAGCTGCCATCCTATGGAGGCTGTTTTTACTTTGCTCGTAAATCTTATGTTCGCTCACGTTGCCTGTATTGTTGCAACAAAATGTTAATATTTGTAATAAAACGAATGCACCGACTATCGCGCTGATTAGTTTGGTTGGCTGGGCGGCAGCGCTGTGTCGCGATGTGGGTGCAGAATTCGTTTGCATCGCTTCTGGGCGCTCACCTGTAAATCGAAATATAAAACAAGAATTAGTCTGTTGCTATGCGAAAACAATGCGCAAGTATTAATGCAATGAAGAAAGTCAATAGTGGTTGCTTTTATTTTCTTATGATACTTATCTACGATTAGCTAAGTTGTCTGATTGGTTAAGCTCCTAATAGCATTTGAAGTGCACCCACCTAAATCTCATTCCAAGCATACGTTTTCAAAAAAGGAAACAACTGCACAAATTTACGAAAAATGTGCCTCGGATGAGACCCCCTTCTATTGGTGACGAACGCTGAAAACGTGAAACTACGGTTTGAGGGTATGCACGTGGAAAAATCCGAATTCTTAATGGGGAAGGTGCGTTCACCCGGCTAGTTGATGTTCTAAGGACGAGAAAGGCTGACATCACCGCCATCGAAGAAATGCGATGGACGGGGCGTGGAGCCTTGCTACGTCTACTACAGCTGTCACGTCAAGGAGCCTTAATTTAGTGTTGGATTTGTGGTAGAAGAGACTTCGTCGCTGAATACTGTTGTCCACACCGTCTGCGAACATCTAGCCGCAATCCAAAATCGAAACAGGATTCTTCAATATCTCGCTCATCTGCGTCCATGTGTCCCGACGGAAGAGAAGTACGAGGAGTCCAAGGATCTCTTCTATGAGCGTACATTCGATCGTTTCCCCGTCATGATATCAAAATCGTGTTGGCGATTTTCTATGCCATCTTTTTTCAAGGGAGGGATCTTTGGCGCGACGAAACGACCGATAACGGACTAAGGCTTAATGACTTCACCGGGGCCCGTAAGATGGTAGTATGCAGTATTAGATTCCAGCATAAAAAAGTCCATCAAGCTACATGGCTATCTCCAGATCGAAAAACGAGAAACAAAATCGATCATATGGTGGTAGAAGGAAGGCACGCTTACCGTGTTTTAGACGTGTGTATACTCCGAGGTCAACCATGGACTCTGGTTACTATCTTTTTGCTGCTAAGATGCGTCCAACAATGCAAGGAAATCTCAACGCCTAACATCTGAAATCACAACAGAAGGCCAATTTATTCTCCACTCGAGCGCACAAATGCAACATGCGCGAGCAGTGGAACCGCTAATCAATTGCCGACGCCGAAGAAGTAATAGGATACTAGCGACCCTGAGACAATCACTGGTTTTTGTGATCATTAAAGGGAACTGAAGAGGGCAACGAGACGTATTTTCCGCAAGAACAGACAGAAAAAACACCCGAAAATTTATCATAGAATTAGGCGACTTACGTTAGCTTTCAAACGTACGCTGAACTCCTGCAAGAACAGCCATGCCCAGGCGACAGCTGGGCCACAAAAACAGCTGCTTCCTTGAACATCGTCGGCGCAGGGCGCAAGCTACATCCTACCTTGATGGCAGCCGGCATCGCGAAGGACTGGGAAAGGTATGGGTGCTGCTGTATTATCCCTTTTTAGACTCGTTAAGTTTGTCGAAGTACCCCTATGCAACACTGTCAGCGTGAGGTTCTATTTGTTCGCCTCGTTGAAGATCCGCAATGTCAGGGTGTTGGGTTGGGTTGGCCAAGGTGCTGTGAACTGAAATTCACTCGAGGATGCCAGTTCGCACAGTTTAGAGGTTTGAATGTTTTTAAGACCGCTAATATTGCCAACATTGCTATTTTGACAAGTGACGAAACTCCCTGGGGCCCAGTCTAATTTAGTTATCTGCTGGATCAGCAGCTAGTTTGTAGAAACATAGCCGAGATGGGGATGGTTTTTTAATGCAGTTGGTTTTGCGCGCTCCCGGATACAGTAATCTTTTTGAGAGCTTTGGAGCAGCTGGGTCAGGTCATTTGCCTGTGCTTCTTAAAAGTCGATTATAGCAAGATGAACCCTCCACATATTTCGGACTTCCCTCGAAGAGTTTGGTCATACCTACATATACTATATCCTGGGGAATGTTTCCCCACAGGGGGCTCAGCAAGAGCCTTTGAAGGTGAAAGTGACATAAGAGGAGATGTGTTAGATCATTTGGGCTCCTTCAGTGCCGTCAACAAAATTTTATTGCCATTTCTAATGGCAGAACTTATATCACTATAGGGATCCGAAGCTATTTTAAAGCTGCTAATCATTCTGAATCGTTGGTAAGCTTACTCAGAAGAGACATTTCGGTAACCCAAAAGAAAGGAAGGGGAAAGAACGGAGTATGGCAGAGTTATATGGCGCAGCAAGTCCTCGGTTACTCCTGGAGCCGAACAGTTATCCAGGAGGCTCCATAAGAATAGGAAAGCCCCTGACTGAAATCCATCCAATGGTCGCAGAAAAACGTATGATACCCTGTTTTAGCGGGAAAGTAGATGGATACAAGCTGTGTCGATCTAGAAAGATACGACTACGCACTACGATCTTGTTTTGGGAGTAGCTTAGGGACGGACACATGGTAAGACTAGCTTCTATATATTGACCTCCTCATTCTAAAGATTTTGCTATATATCGCCATTTAAATAATATACAGAATTATTTAAAAACTTAATTTTTGTGGGAAAATGCAATCAAAGTTTAATCAATTCATACAATTGGTATACCAAAAAACACATATCTTAGCCATTTTTAGAAGGGTTTAGTTTTCTGTTAGGCTGACATATTCTCCTTATCAAGCTTATTAATTGTATGATGAAATCTCCAAAAACCTGAATTTTGAGTTACATCTCTATATTATTAAACGTGCGATATGTAGATTTGGGTAATTTGTTTGGCGCCTATTTCTTTTCACTCGCACCTCGAAATTTTGTGGGGATTACCTAAAAAAATCCCTGAAAATTTTAGTCCTTAATATTAATTTAAAGTGCTCAACCAAGGATTTCCCGTTTAAAATATACGTAAACTTTAATTTCTTTTTCATGGATTATTGAGCTAAATTGAAGAAATGTTTTATTGCAACAGGGTTACGCCGCATTGAACACTTTTGTAGAGCATTCAGTTCTGAAGAAACCCCATCATTGACCGTGATTATACCATAAAATACCTCTGAGCTGTAGAATTTTGAAGAAAAAAAAAATTTAAGTTTACGCGTATTTCAAATATAAAAATTTTCATGGAATTTTTCTTAGGTGTTTCTCACAAAATTTTGAGGTGGGGGTGAATAAAAATAGTCCGTTAATTTGTTACAAACAAACATTTTGTGAACTAAGGTAAAACATCCCTATGTACAAGTGCGATCCTGTATAATATTTACGCATCAACTCTTACTTAACGTTACTTTAAGAACTAGTTTAATACTCGTCACTTAGCGTTACTTCATAAACTAGCTTAATGCATTAGCCAGCAGAGGACTCGGATTACGATACTGTAACACAATTTGGAGTCCTAATGCACTCACCTTGTAGCACGTGAACGCGTATACTCGCTATCTCCGTGTTCGATGGGTAGCAGGAATATTTGCCAGAATCAAGTAGATCAGCATCGCTGATGAGTAATATTGATTTGGTTTCTTCGGATTTAATCATTTTGAATTTCAAACGACCACCCGAAGTTTCCTCTGAAAGTACCTGTGGATGAGAAAGCAGAACAAGTAATTTTTAGCGAAGAAAAACCGACTTCAACTCTCTTATAAAAAATATATATATATATATATCTCATGATCCAGTGATCGGATCTTAACCAGAATAGTACGGGACGGCCTCTGAGACACTACCTTTCCGATGCAAAAATTATCGAAATCGGTTGACGTGCTCCAAAGTTGTGCGGTAAACATACATTAAAAAAAATAAAAAAATAAAAATTAAAAAAATATTCCGACGAACTGATAACCTCCTCCTTTTTGGGAAGTCGGTTAAAAAGGTATTAAATATTGGTAAGTCGAAAAAGTGTCAGCAAATTTTTCTAATAGATGGCGCTATATTCAGATAATAATGCATGAGTAAAAAAATTCTACCCGATAAAAGCTAGAAACCAAAAGTTCATTTGAGAAAAATTCCATTCCGCGGCGAATTTTTCAACTACTTAATATTGCTTGAAATAAGATTTATGGCAATAATGTGCATTTCCATTTTAAGCGATTGAGTTAAATCTTTCTGCGACTTTCTCTGTCGCCCTCCTTCTGCTGATATCCTTGGCACAGCTAGACCACTGGGTGTATTTTAAACTAAAACCACAGTCCATAATTATTGAAATATAAAATAGGTTTTTCCGCGGTAGACACAGGCGTTTTTTGGGGAGCAATGCGTGGCTGATATCTATATGTTAATACAAATCTATTCCTCCCTACTGCTCCTATGTTTTTCAACCAATTTGAATGATTCTTCTTTTGTTCGAAAGGTATTATTTTCCGGTAGGTGCCTGATTTGGTTGCACCATCTATGAAGTTTTAAATTATTTAACCGAATGTATATTACTCCACCAAACAATATATGTAAGTGAGCTAGACGATTAACAGGTGCTGATGGACCAAAATCACTTCCCAGGCAAAATGAAAAAGTGTGTGAAAAAAGTGAAGTGGCCGAATTCCGACAACGGGAAGATACTAGTATTAATCAAATCGACTTGGGATAAATTACTTCTATTCATAAGGGTCAAACGTGTTCTGAATTTTGATCAAATTGGACTGTAAATGCAGTTTTTAGAAATATCTCTACTCCTGCGACACATATCGGAATATTTTTTTAGAAATAAGTCTCCATTCACAAGGGGGATAAATGCCCTGACTATAAATCAAATCGGACGGTAAATACGGTCCACTCCACCGCCAGCTACCGGACTTTTAATATACTAGTCGTTGATATTACAAAAGGAAGTTGAAAAAAATGGTAAATTTTTCATGAATATATGCCAGCTGTACAATTGTATCAAGATAAGATAAAGATATCCACGAGGGTGTAGATGTACCTTAGCCACTCCCACTGACATATGAGTGATGCAAACACATATAAAATTCTACTACTTGATTCTTAAATGTAGACAAGAAGCAAGTTTTAGCTTTCTAGATGCATCAATAATATTAAAAAATTGTTTACAAAATCCGAATTGGTGCAGTTGTACCAATGATACTACACAAGGGTTAATTTGTCTTTAGCTGTTTCGCTTTTTATGCTTCTATAAAACTTTATGCAACTTATGCGTGCTTCAATTTCATTTATTTATTTAAGTACTTTTTTATAATCGTTTATAGATTATGGCTTTGTGTGCTCAATTGTGCAATTGTGCGAAACCCGCTTTTCACCTAAACATAAATTCATCCTTATAGTTCCCCTCGTAAAAGTATTATCAGTACCCTGTGGCAGGACAAAAACCTTCTGAATCAACACTACTTTCACCACGTTCGCGGTTTTGCTGCATTTATCGCTGCTGATATCCTCAAGCTGCTACTTTACGTTCACAGCTTACCCATTAATGCGCGAGCTTTTTTATTAAAATATTTTTGCTTGTTTTAATTTTTCATTTACTCATTTTTTATAATCGCTCATTTCTTTTGTTATTTTTCAATTCCCGCCTTTCACTCGGGCAAGTGTACAAATGCGATATGATCAGCTTGTAAAGCAGATTTCCTTGATCCAATCGTCTTCGCCTTCTTCTCCCTCTATACATATGTATGTATGTATGTATGACCTTCTTTCGTTGCATGGCTTCAGGTTTTTCATTGCATGTGGCAGTTGCAAGTGGCATGCTCGTTAAATCTGAGCAGCACTGCAAGCGTTCAACATTCATGCCATGAGCATGAAGGCGTTGCTACTTATCAATTGCCACGCTGCCAGTAATACAATTTTCAACGCGATTCACCGCCAACACTACGGCAACGATTTCGCTTTAAACTATTTGAAAACGGAAGAGGCCATTAGTATGTGTGCATGTACATATGCATACATACTACTAGTATGTGTGCATGTAGATATGCATACATACTACGTATAGTATTTTGTAAGTAAATGCACATCCTTTGCGACAGACTTGTATTTATAACACTTCAGCACTGCAAAGCAAGTGCATACATATATTTTATGTTCTTTTACTCTTGGGCGGTAATAAATGAACTGTGTGGGTGACATATGAGAAAAATCGCTGCGATAAAAGTTTTTAAAACTGGTTACTTGCTTGTTTTCACGCAGTTCTACAGGCGCTACAAAGCAGTTCCTGGTTTGCTGATTTGGCTGGCTGTTGGCATTGCGGTACTTGAACTCGATAATTTATTGATGAAATTTTTTTGGTAGCGTGCCAACATGAAAACTTGATTCTGGCATGTACGAGTAGGTACACAATTTTCGGCAAATATTTTTTCTCGATAATGAAACTCCTTCAACTAAAATGCCTTAAGTTAAAACTTATGTATTCTTACTTCTTAAAGTTTGAACAGGAAAAAGATGGGGAACTACTATTTGTGGTTTGTATTGAGTTGGGTAACAGCGTAATGAGCTTAATGGTACACCACATTGCTTATAGCAATTCTTGTTTTCGGTTTATGGCCTCCGGGTGACTTAGGTATATACATGCGTTATGAAACTCATGCAACAAATAATATAGAGCTTTATATCATGATACAAAAAGCGGACTCCTTTCCTGGAGCTTATTATTAAGAATACATAAAAAATAAATAAGACTATAAATGGACGCGAATACTCCAACCCCATAAATATTCAACGCAGTACTTATTTGTGTAACAGAAAAAGAGCAAGGCCTCCTCTGTGATGGCAGGAACAGTTGGAAAAGGACGTGACTTCCAGTTAGTTGGAACAGGAGAGAAACGGCTGGCGTGCTTTATTTGAATCGCTTAGGCAAAGAATACAGCGTTTCAGTATACGCCGTCAAATTGAAAACCCAAAGTTTGTTTTTGCTGCTACTATCGAAAATTGTCAAATCGCTCTCTGTGTGGCCCCATCATATTTTTTTATCGTAAGTGGTTAGAGCGTTACACAAGAAGAAGTGGAAGAAGAAGGAAATACTTAAAAACCTCGACATCTGTCTGTCACTGCTGGATGTATAAAAGCAACTGATACCAAAAAACAGGGGACAGACTTGCCAGACAAAGAAAACGTGCCTCTAGTACCAAGTATTTTCCCCGCATGCACTCCAATTTTATTTGCGTATGTCTGAGTAAAGTAATGTCGTAAGGACTCCATCATATAACCTACGTATGATTATTCTGCATTTGGAAGTGGCAGTAGATAGAAGTTTTTGTTAACAGAAGCGTACCCAGGGATATGGGTTCACATGGATACGTCTAATTCGTATTCTGCTGTCCTTTTGATCGCGCTACCTCGGATCAGACGCCGATAGCTGTTGCTCTGCTTCGACGCCACAGGCAATGTGTACAGAGCCCGGCGCAAACCCGTCAGTATGCGCCTCCAGATGGACGGCGATATGTGTCAGTGATCGATAAGGGGTCTTCCTTAGTCATCTTGTTGGAAGTTTCCCAAATCAACGATGTCGAAGACTTATATCTCTTAGTTACACTCGTCAGGCATCCAAAGTTCGCTGCCTCTTTCAGGCGAGAGCACTTTTTTACCGGCCGCTGTACCCTATGCTGTGCATCTGACTAGCGAAGAGATTGCTTTTTCCCATTACAGAATCGACATCGTTGGGCCGCGATGTATGGTACAGTATTCTTATGAGCATTGAAAAATAGCGGAAGAGATTACACAGAAGCTGGCTTGGAAATTGACCGACCGTTTTTGCTTAAAATGTCAAAAGTACTCTTGTGGTCTAATTTACAGTCTGTGTTGTTAATCGAACATGGTATTGATGAGGCGTTGGCTAATATACCATCAGTAGTATAATCGCATCAGTTTGGATATGGATTATCCACCTCCTTTGTTGTTTTCTTTTTGCAGAACCTTAGGAGTGATTTGAGTAAACTTTTTAACCGGGCCCTCAAAAAAACTGCTAAGATGGCTTAGGGGTATTTTTCGAAAAGGAATTCGTTAGTTTCCTTGGTATTAAGGGACCCATTATACATCCCTCTCTCTTTCTCATCTGGGTAAATATTCCGCTTAATAATGGCCTGTTGGCTTCAGGTGGCCAAACGTAAGTTTCCCTCAATCTCAGAAAGTCGAGCTGGGTAGGTATGTATGTATTTGGTTTCACTGAGTAGACAACGCACTGTGTTAGGCATACATGACAACACCAAACGGTGGAAAAATTTAAGTGCTTCTACGCCTCCTTTGCAAGGATTGATATCAAGCTTTTGAACATTAAACAATCTATGCCCATTTATTCGTAAATAGTGAGGATTTTAATCAGATTGAAGGGAAAACGAGCACGTTATTTCCGACAAAAGAAAACAAACCGATGTTCGTAAAGATTTTTGTTCTGGACCTATAGTGTTTGCCGAAACTAGAGTCGCTTCTTGAGAGATGAATACTCATTCATTGTGTGGTATAAATTTCAGCCAAAAATAAACTGGTCTTCACGATGTAAATCTATATAAAGTTTGAAAGCAGAAAAAATGTCCCGTTTACAATATGCCAATAGCATACCACTCCACGCCAGTGCGACTGGAATAGTGTAGACGACTAATCCATTGACATGTATTTACACATGTATATGAGCCATTCTTTTTTAAGTCGGACGGATTTCGTAAAAAAAAATATGTTATGTCTCCGATTCGCTTCAAAAATTTTGTATGGGTTCTATACGCGAAATAAGCTAACACGTATTCGTGGAAGGTTTACAACAACTAATTTTAAAACAATTATTTTTATGACGAGTTATATTGTTTTGATAATATAGTCCCTTCAAAATAATATAACTCGACATAAAAATAATTGTTTTAAAATTAGTTGTTGTAAACCTTCCATTTTGAATAATACAGACATCGTAATACACATATTGTGTTATATGTAGCAAGGTATCCGCAATAAAATTTGCGTTTTTTTAAATCTAGTCCTAAAATTGCCACGGCCATTTCTAGATGTTTGCCACCTTAAAGAACAAATATTTATTACTGAATGAGAGTACCCATCGGAATTCCCAATAGCATATTGATTTTTGCAAAAATACTATTTTTAATACCTTGCTAAATATATTTTATCCTAAGTTTCCGAAAACAAATTTAAAAAAATTGTTAATTCTCACAAAATAAAACATATTGTTATACAGAAAAATATTTTAAAAATAGTTCTTTTAAAACCCCCATTTTTTAACAACATGGTTTTTATAGAGAATTAAACAAGGATTATGATGGTATGACTTTAAATCCCAAATTTACTGGTCTTCACTATGTAAATCAACTTCAAAAAGTTCTACTGTTTATAGCTTAGTTAGCCGTAAGACAATCATGACCACCCTATACATAGAAATGTTAAGCCCGTTTCTTTAGCTTTAAAATGACGTTAAGATGAAGTCTCTACGATGAGCAGAACCCGAGATAAAACCATTTGAAGAAGTACATGAATAGTCAGAATCACGAAAAAATCCAAACTTTGACAGATCATATCTCCGAAGAAAAAATAAATAAAAAAATAAAAAAATTTCTTCGAATACGTGTTAGCTTATTTCGCGTATAGAACCCATAAAAAAAATTTGAAGCGAATCGAAAGTGTGACACCAAATTTGGTGTCCGAAATGAAAAAGAATACCTCATATAGGAAAACAGTTTGAAAATTAAATACTGCCCGATTGACTTAAATAGGTACACATATTTCCTCAAGATCCAAACTTATATCTGGACTTGTAGGCATATGAGAAGTTTATTTTAAATCCCGTTTTAAAGAATGATTTATAACGAAGAAAAGTAATGAAAATTAAGAAAACCCCTCGATTACTTTGGATTTTACTTTACTAAAAAGAATGCTTATTATTTTGATTCACTTGAGTATGTATAAGGATGAGTAGCCTCCTTATGTGTATAGCAAAGTTATTATAATTCAACTTTAAACCTTTTTAAGAATTTAAAGGATAATCAGACCTATATCACAGCAAGAATGGGCGAAACCATGGCACTTTCAGCTGCAAAAAATCTATAAATTGAGGGCTTCATGGATCCAGGAATTTGCAGGCGATCTGTTGGAAATAAAACTGAAGGAAATGTTTCTGATTGCTGAAACCAGCGTATTGTCGAGATAGTGGACCAAAGTGCAAGAAAAACGTTGTTGTTGATGACATCACAATGGAACTACGGATTACTCCATACACTTGTGCTCAGAAAATGTAAATAAAGGGCATCAACTTAACTATATAGAATACTAAAAAATAATTGTTTTCTCCGGCGAAAAGTAAAATTTTGATGGCTACAACGGGTTTAATAATAATTGAAATGCTATTTGAAAGGATTAACTTGGTTTGTTTCCCCCTGCGTGATCAATAAGTTACGCAATCCGCCCTGCAGGAGAAGTAAAAGGGAGCATAAGGAAGCAAAGTCGTAATTTTTTCCAAAGTTTGTCCTTTTCACAGGACCTAAGCTTGATGAAAAATATTTAGAACTTGATGTTTTGCAAAGTTAGCATGTCAGACAATGCATGTGATGATTGGTAGTTGTTCGTTCCGGAGATTAAAGTAGTAAGCAGCGAGATGTCCTTGATTTTTCAAAGCGCCTGTAGAAATGTCTACCGGAAAGGGGTTTTTCTATACATTGGAATTAAGGATGTACCACCCAATGCCAAAAGTGTTGTATAGTAAAATTAAAATGAATGGTATGCTTTTGTTGGTTCAATATAGTCCTTTGTAGAGAGTCGTCATTCCAGTCCAGCGCTGGCCTGGCTCATTGGTGTGGCGTGCTATTGGCATAATGTAAACGGAGCATAACTCCTCGAACAAGAACAAACATATTTTTTTAAGAACAAACATTATTGAATAACATTATCCTGTTTCTTGCTTATCTAAGACACATCTGTATCTACAACGTTTCTGATAAATTTTCTTTAATAAATGGTAAAGACATGTGTGCTTATGCAAGAGTACACATATACCAGCTTACAATTGTTATTTACCTTATCTTGATGATACCAAAAAATGTGTGTCGGTGGTTCAGGGCTGAATTTTATTACACATGTCAGATTAATTGTACTTCCTCTGTCCACATACAAATCAGGTCCACCCAATATGCTGGCCGTTGGTACTGTTGCATTAGAATGGAGGGAAATTCGCAGGTTTATCGTTCAAAGAAGCAAAGAAAGAAAAGGAAAGCAAAGGAAAGAACAAATTATTACGTGAACTTACTATATACGCCTACATAGTAGCATAGCTATGTACGTACATACAGTTACTCACAAAATGCAGTATGCGCGTACTTTTTTTAAATGTTCACAATGATTTAAATGTAATTTCTTTTTTTTTTTTAATTTTTATCTATTAAAATTTGGCTTATATTTTAAGAAACGCCAAATTAATTTAAAAGAAGTCTGCAAATTTTCACGCATATTTCAAATTTGTTGTACCTATGTATTTGTTGGGCATGCAGTTTAATAGTGCATTCAATTTTAATGAAATAATGTGCATGTTTTGATACTGTTAAAATTTGCGTTGAATGTTGAAAATACTCCGCGTTTACTTCCATATATAAAAAGTGAAAAATTGAAGAGTTTTAAATTTTGCAGAATTCTTTTAAAAAAGTTAGGATTTGAATTGCAAATTGCGATGCCCAAAAAAAGCTAATGCAAATGTAAAGTTGTCATTCATACTTTTTGGATTTTTATCTAAGGGATGAAAATAATTCTCCCAAAAAATATTCATTACCCAAAAATACTTTTTTCATTTATCATTTTGGTTAAATAAGTTTTTTTATATAATTATATTTTATTCTTATATATTTTATCTCAAATCCCTACAGCTCTTTTTTTCTAAGAAAAATTTTAAAAATTCCATTATGTATGTACATACATACATACATACATTTTAAGCCGAAGTAAAATTGAGATTCATATTTTTTTTCAAAACAAATTTATCTTTTCCAAGATGAAGATAATTTCAAAATATCGTTAAAATTTTTTCATGTCGTGTAGTTTTTTTAAATTTTTGTGAATTATTTTGTGAATTATTTTATTAATAATTTCAAAATATCGTTAAAATTTTTTCATGTCGTGTAGTTTTTTTAAATTTTTGTGAATTATTTTTTTTTTTCAAGAAATCGTTTTTTTAATAAAAATTTATATTTTTCTTAAACTTATTTTTCGTGAAACCCTGAAATTTTTTTCGAAAATATTGGGGAAATTTATTTACCAAATTTTAAGTATGTTTGTTTTTAAATGCTTTTCTTAAAACTGTAAGATAAGATTATGAAAACGTAAATAAAGAACCACGCAAATGCACACAATATTCTTATGAGTGTAGGACTTTTGGGGAAATACATATGTTTCCCTTAGCCCCGAAGAGGTTAAATTTGACGTTTGACGTTTGTTAAAATAAATAAATATAAAGTCTTAATTTGGGATTTATATGGTGTTTGTTGAAATGAGTATAAGCCATATTTAAATTAAAAGTTAGAAACAAAAATTTTTTCACATACATAAAAAGCATTATGAATATAAAAAGAATTATCGTATACTCAATTTTGTGTGTAACTGTACATAAAAATGCCAGAAAAGATGTTGGTACTAAAACGTTCAAAGGCAGTAAATATTATAACCGGCTGTATGCCTCAGCAGTACACTAAATAAAATTTATGTTTGCACATCTAAAGCTACCAGTATTTATGTAAGTTAGTTAGTAGGTATACCTAAGTACATACGTGTACTATATTAAGCCAGATGCATGAACTGGACACACCAAAGCCTCTTGTAGTACGTTAGTGAATTTAGTAGAGCAGTAAAAACAAGCAATGTTAAAGGCATTGGCAAAACAATAACAAGGACACTATGTACATTTCAATTATAGTAAATAAATGTACTACAAATCAGTATATGTGTACATGTGTATTTTTTTGAATGGCATAAAGCGAGCTTATGCACTGCCATTTTAATGAAGATATGTGTCTGCTTCCTTTATAAGTTTAAATAAATGTATACGTACATTATACATAATTATGTACATATTTCTGCATACATAAATATGCTAATAAATGTTTGGTTTAAGGAAAATAATATAGTGTAAGTGATTTTATTGTCTAATTTAAAAACGAATGTGGTTTATAATTCTCAAAAGTTGGTTCATGTATTTTGGCTTAATTTAATGCAGCGATTATTATAGATACCTGTACATTATTTGATCGTTTCGAATCGGAAATAAAATCTGAAAATACATAAACATATTCAGTGAAATGCTGCTAAGCATGCTTTTTATGCCAATTATTATCCTAACCAACATCACCACACTAACTAAGGACTAGTCGGCTGACCTTAATACACTTATCATATATCATCAATTATATAAATAGGCAATCATGTTTCCTTTACACCCCTTTTACGGCTAAACTGTACTTCTAAGGTATAAACAATTATATATCATTAGAAAGGTATTTTGATGCTGATGTGGAGGCAATTTTTAAAATTTCGAATTAGTTTAAAATAGAGCGAACAAATCGATTCAAAAGTCACACCAATACCAATGCCATACATGTACATGGTTGGGGCGGAAATGCCTCCTAAATGTATGCTTTAATATTGATAGTGAATTAAAGAAACGTGCTAAGCAGCGGTTTAGGAATAAGATGTATGTATGTATGTACATGAATAGATTAGCTTCAAACAAGGATGAAGATAATTTTGAGTATGGAGAAGAAGAAAGGGATAAATACAGAAATTAAAATAAAAGCAAAGAAACCTAAATATAAAGACAAAGAGGAAAGAAAATTTAAATACCTGACCTAATAACAATGGTGGGGGTGAATATGTAAATGAAGAAAAGAATGGACATATTTAGATCAGGATAAAGGAAAGGATAAAGATGAAGAAGAAGATGAAGACCAAGACGAGGAAGAAGATGAAGATGAATATGAAGATAAGGATAAAGATAACTTATCTTAACTTACCCCTTAACTTAACTTAACTCACCTCAACTCATCTCACCACCGCTTAAAAACTTACTCCACCTGAGTTCGCTACACATTAATTCACCACACCTTAACTCCCCACACCTAAATCCACCACTAGTTCAGTCCCCACACCTAAATTCACCACACCTTAATTCACCACACCTAAATCCACCACACTTTAATTCACCACACCTCAACTTCCTCACCACACCTTAACTCACCACACCTTAATTCACCACACCTCAACTCACCACAACTAAGTTCACCACACCTCTTAAGACCACCACACTGCAACTCACCACACCCAATTTCAACACATGACATGATATCACTAAAGAAACAATGTAAAGAAAAAGAGGAAGGAAAATTTTACTACCTAACCTAATAACAATGGTGGGGGTAAATACGTAAATGGAGAAAAGAATGAAGATATAGATCAGGATAAAGGAAAAGATAAATATGAAAACGAAGGTGAATATGAAGTTGAAGACGAAGATGAAGATGAAGATGAAGATGAAGATGAA